TGCATTGGGTTTGGGCGTGCTGGCCCCCCCCCCCCCATGATGAGCAAGCATGTCGATACCTACTCTTGAGACCGAATGCACAATATCCCTTGTTGTACCCCCAAAATACAGTTCCTTGGCTACAAAAATTGTCACTTTGCTTGCGTCCCCCCTCAGACCCGGTGATATAACCAGTGGTATTGGTCCCTCCCTGGGTAGTACTATCGCTGAGTCTCTGGTGACTTGCATCAAACCTTTGTGATGTCACGAACAGCAACCACAATTCACTATCTATCAAACCCCAAGATGAAGAAGGATATTTTACCTTTTGTATACGGTACTGCTCATCATACTTTACCCAGGAAGAACCAGACCTGTTCGCTGCAAACCATGTGTCTGTCATATATTTCAACAACTCATGCGCCTTCCCGGGTGTTTTCTAATCATAACACTCATGTAAATCATAAACGCACTAGTCCTGACGTGAATATTGTAAATAGGCTTGGATTCGAGGTGTTTCTGAACCATTAATTTACCCCCTTTCATAACTCTCCCCCGGCCTGATCCATTTCCCTTGTCAGGTCCCTTGCTGATTTCAATAGAAGCCCTAAACTGAAAAATTCCCCAGCCCATATTGTTTCTTTCAGCTTGAACGGAACGTGATCCCCAATCTGTGTGTAATAGACATGCGATGGCACATCAGGATAGGAAATCGATATGGTATGCAAAGAAAGATTTACATTTTTAAATTTATATATTTTGATAATTATTTTATGACCCCAATCTGGATCATAAAATACAAAATTTGTATCACGAGTTATGTCCCCTTCACCAGGTCAGGAAAGCTGAATGCTATTCAGCTGTCCTGAGGTATAGCTTGTTTTAAAAAGTCATTTATCATATATAAATTGATAAATGCAAATACTTCTTTGCATACCATATCGATTTCCTATCCTGATGTGCCATTGCATGTCTATTCCACATGATTTTATCCCAGAAATGTTGATACATTCGAAAACGAAGCCAGTGCCATTCAATGCCTTCTTGTAACATAATACACTAGTTTAATTTACCAGTTTATTTTAATATATAGAATTTCGTCTCGGAATCTTACATATTTGTAATAAACAATGTCCAATTTTCCCAAGATATGAATTTGTTACGTAAACAAAGATATTCAAATATTACAGATTTTGGGAGTGATAAATTCTATTAGTCTCTCGTTATTAAAGATGTTTTTCCCCGGGTTTTATAAAATTGGTAACTTATTTAACTCAAATTTGACAAAAACTGTCTTAATTAGCGTCAAAGATAGAACAGCTTGCTGAGTCATATAAGTTGTACTCAAGTTTTGTTTTGCAGTTCATGATATTCCTTTTTGTTGTCTGTCCTTTCGTTCCATATCCGCGACATTTTGTACTAGCTCTTGTGTTATCTTTCTGTGTAAATAAGTGATAATTTTGTCTATAATCCTTCTTTTGTTTAAATACATAATCCCCATTCACTGACCGTGATGTTTTATTTGAATATAATATTATCTCAAGGTATATATATATATGGATGTATTCGAGCTATCTACTTTAGTTATTGATTCATCCCCACACTTCTCCGTGGCTTTTGAAGCGTTTCGCATTATCTTGAATATTGATGTAGTTGTATATCGTTTTCAATGATAAATTTGATCTCAGATAAAAACTTACAGATTTATAAAAAATATCCCGAATTTGGAAAAGTTTTTACTTGCAAAACAAAACAAGTACAAATTAGACTCGCGGTTTGTTATTACAATATGATTGTTGCAGGTATGTCATTTTCGAAAGATCACTGAAATTTTGGTACAGTGTGTAAGTGTAGAATATTGGTGTTTCCCTATGATCAGGTACTTATACAAAAGCGCAAAATGTGATGCTGTTGACACCTATCTCTTCATATAAGTACAAAAACATACATCGGTCTCATTATGAAGTTGTAAGAGTATAGCATTATCAAGAACATTTGTATCGCTGAATGCATGCCATTCGAGTGTTTCGTAACCAAACCCAACTATTTTCATGTTGTCTCAGGTAGGAAGGTATTATATTTAATTCAGTCAGTTCGCTCTCACATGACAACATACTTGTACGTGATAATATGAAATAAGTGATCAACAGTGTCCATTTGCACGTGTCAGATTGCGTTAAATATGACGTGAAATTAAAATTAGCGCTCAGAATATTACACATGCGTCGTCGATTTGTTATAGACAAGTCCACACAACTCTTATGTATTCTACTTCATTTTATTTCTAAATAAAAAGTAACAGATAATATGTTAATTAAGTATATGACATTTTATATATTAATCATCCGACCAGACATGCCTTTGGATATATAATGGCTTATAACATAACATATTTATATATTTAACACATACATAACTGGCATATAATATGTACAATACGTATTATGTAGCGCGTTCTACATAATCAACCACAAAGGAATAGGCTGGTTACTTCTAGTAGTGGAAGATGTGAGTAGAAAATAATGTGCAATCACAAATTTCATTGCTTAGATAAGACAGAAACGCAATACAACTGACATTATTACATAAGAGGGGGAGTTGTGTATATATATGCATTTATATATATATGGGTAGTATATACGTTTTAATTGCGGTATGCTAATTTATGTATTGAATCGTCATGAGCTGGATTTTTGAGTTCCAACTACAATATCATATATAAAAATATATATTGATTTTTTGTGTTTACATTTTTTTACTCAGATCTTTATCTAAATTCATCTCTCTATACTTTTACTATGTTTTGAGTGTGTATTGCCAAAGAAAATATACTAATGGATCAATATTCCAACAATCAAAGTCACTTGAGCAATTGGATCAGTTCTATAACAGTGTTGTTTCAAGCGTCACATGGACAAATCTGACTATAGCACTTAACACCCATTTAGTTAGTTGATATTGTGAACATGCAACGCTGATGCAATAAAAGAGCAATACAATCTCTCTCTCTCTCTCTCTCTCTCTCTCTCTCTCTCTCTCTCTCTCTCTCTCTCTCTCTCTCTCTCTCTCTCTCTCTCTCTTGATGTCATATCCTCTCTCTATCTATCTCTCTCTCTCTCATTTTGTTTATGTCTGTGTTACATCTAAAATAAACTTAATTGTATGTTATTAAGATAACAAATTTGTTTTGATAACGCTAGAATGTTTGGAAAATAATAATTCACACTTCTGTCACTTAAAATCACGTACGTCAAGACCTTAATAATTTCAATAAATGATATGCTACAGTAATCGGTCTTTAAGTGACAAATCGTTGGTCATCAATTCGACAAAAAACATTGTTAAGGTGAACGTTCATGTTTTCTTTGAAAGTGTGTTATTATCATGTTTGTCACCAGATGGAAAACAGCTATTTATTGCTCATATATGCTTTCGTCAATGGAATCTGTTGATCTATACAGTCTTACAATGTTTACATAGTCAGTTTAGCCCTTGGTATGTGTAGACCATGTGCGTCATTATGTTCAACCAACTTTTGTACTTTTCCTCTGGAACGGACAATAAGAGTCGCCAAAACTACACACGCTATTAGCATGACAAGAACAAGCGCTGACATGACTATGATGACGATGATGATTTCACTAGATCGGAAGCAATCGGACTCTTTCTCGACTGAAAAGGGAAACAAACATTCTTTCAGTGCCTTAACAACAAGAATATGTATAGAAAACAATGTTTAATCATATTTATCTTTAGGTAAGTTAAAAACAAATGCGTGAAAAAAAGGAACCAAAATATATCATGCAATGATGCTGTAATTTACCGTTGCTTTCAAAAATACGTCACAATGTGAAACACATCAACAGCAGCAACACACATTAAGTAATTAAAATGAAGTTAATTGGATCTGGGTAATTCTCCGTTATTGCTAATATTTACCAATTTGTTTATTTGGGAGTACGATTGGTTCCTCAAGGATGGTGAATAGGCCGGATACTGTCTGTTCGTCCGTGCTGTTGTTGAAATCGTCTGCACTACGTCGTCTTCTCACTACAGGTGCGCCATTGCAGTCAGGCTGTAAAAAAACACCACAGATTAACATTAATAGCTGAGCAATGAATATATGAAAGGTGTATGATTATCGCTTCTAAGCATACCGGAAGTTAAAACAACAACATATAATTCAACATCAGTGAGAGACAAATAAACACGACCATTGTATATACATTTGATTAAATATCAATTATAAGTGACCACCTCATTTTGTTTGCATAAACAGGGCACGCTACACATCACTAATTATCAAGAACCTGTAGATACAAATGTAAGCATGTATTACTTATGGTACACTGATATTTACATGCTTTGAACACACATTCTCGTATTAAAAGATTTCATTAATTGAAACAAAATTTTAAAGAAGAAAACAATTTCAATATATAAAGTAACATAAATTATCTAAGTCTTACTGTAGCACACGCAGCTTCATCCTCGGCCTTACAGATTTTCACAACACATTGGATGAAAACCTGTTTTGACTCGTAAAACCGGAATCCAAGCATGTGCAATGCTGCGGCGGGGATGGGGGTGGACGAATCCTGAGGGGTGTAGTCCAATTTTATTTGGCCAGGAGGGTCCTGCATTACCAGATTTCCGTCTGAGGTCGGACACCTGGAAAATCACAACGGTAAATAAACAGGTGAACACCACGTTCTGTTTGAACATGTTCCACTTGGGCCAGTTAGCTTTCAAAAACACATATTCTAACAATAAAGGAAGGCCAGGTCGATACAAATCTCGTTTATCCTTTTACTGACAAATCCCGCTAACCTGAGTTTCGCAAATCTTTTTCCCGAGGACAAAAACCCTCGGGTGGAGGTTATGGAATGTCTCGTGACCGACTGGTCCCTATGCCTCGATATTAACGATTTGTTAAGTTTAATTGCACAACGATATGACAAATTGCAAACATCTGCAATGGCTCGACTACGTGACGTTTCGCCTATCGATAAGAATGGATGGACATACTATACAATAGATTACGGGAGACTAACAGCAAATGAGGCACTCCAAAAGAGAACAGAATATGAGTTGACAACATCATTAGGCATCTGACAAACTATCTGTCTGTTCAGAGGTCAGGTACGTGTACATGTATATCAAAAACTGTTCCGAACCGCTATGGGAATTCCTGTGTCACACATAATTGCAAAATTGCCAAGGAAACACATAGAACGGACTGATTTTAGTTTGGTACACATTGAAAGTCGGCCCATTTGTTGGGGGGGGGGGGGGGGGGAATCATATAAATATGACATCATAGAAATAATGAAAAAAGGAATAGTGCAAGGACTAACAGAAACCTTCACCAATTTGAAAACACCTATTCAATCACATTTACCCAAGAGCAAGTAAAGGACGGATCCATATCATTCTGTGACACCCTCTTGTCCGCAGAGAAAAGGACACAATTAAATAATTGGTTACCGAAAATCAACACACACCAATAAGCAGTTTGCTTTCAACTCGCACCAACCACTATAACCAAGTTTGAAGTCGTTCTAACACTCATTGACAGATGTAACAACACCACCACGAACAATTGTTACTGAGAGAACCGATCTGCGATGGATTTCACTGCTACACAACGCCATGACTCTTGGTGATTTTCCAAGAAAAAACTTGAGTCCCGTGTAAATATTTTCTTGACAAAGAATTAGATTTGTTGTATTTAAAAAAAATGTATTTTAAAAACAGATATGAACATTCCATATACGCTTTGTAAAAACCAAGGCTTGTTTAAACCTAAAATGAAATGATAACCGATATATGCTTCTTAGAACTTACCCATTTTCCAGAAGAACAACTTCAGTTTGTGTTCCATCCTCGCCGTTATTGGCGACACATTTCTCCAACAAAAGGGCAGAGTACACTGAAACAAGAACATGATCTGATATAAATACCGAATACAACACATTTCTCCAACAGAAGGGCAGCATACACTGAAACACGTGCATTGTCTGATATGAATACGGAGTACAGCACATTTCTACAACAGAAGGGTAGTATACACTGAAACATGAGCATTGTCTGATATAAATACCAAATACAACACCTTTCTACAACAGAAGGGCAGTATACACTGAAACATGCGCATTGTCTGATATAAATACCAAATACAACACATTTCTACAACAGAAGTCTAGTATACACGGAAACATGAGCATTGTCTGATATGAATACCGAGTACAACCCATTTCTACAACAGAAGGGCAGTATACACTGAAACATGAGCATTGTCTGATAGAAATACCAAATACAACACATTTCTACAACAGAAGGGTAGTATACACTGAAACATGAGCATTGTCTGATATAAATACCAAATACAACACATTTCTACGACAGAAGGGCAGTATACACTGAAACATGAGCATTGTCTGATATGAATACCAAATACAACACATTTCTACAACAGAAGGGCAGTATACACTGAAACATGAGCATTGTCTGATATGAATACCGAGTACAACACATTTATACAACAGAAGGGCAGTATACACTGAAAAAGGAGCATTGTCTGATATAAATACCAAATACAGCACATTTCTACAACAGAAGGGTAGTATACACTGAAACATGAGCATTGTCTGATATAAATATCAAATACAGCACATTTCTACAACAGAAGGGCAGTATACACCGAAACATGAGCATTGTCTGATATGAATACCGAGTACAACACATTTATACAACAGAAGGGCAGTATTCACTGAAAAAGGAGCATTGTCTGATATAAATACCAAATACAGCACATTTCTACAACAGAAGGGTAGTATACACGGAAACATGAGCATTGTCTGATATAAATACGGAGTACAACACATATCTACAACAGAAGGGCAGTATACACTGAAAAAGGAGCATTGTCTGACATAAATACCAAATACAGCACATTTCTACAACAGAAGGGCAGTATACTCTGAAACATGAGCATTGTCTGATACGAATACGGAGTACAACACATTTCTACAACAGAAGGGTAGTATACACTGAAACATGAGCATTGTCTGATATGAATACCGAGTACAACACATTTCTACAACAGAATGGCAGTATACACTGAATCATGAGCATTGTCTGATATAAATACGGAGTACAACACATTTCTACAACAGAAGGGCAGTATACTCTGAAACATGAGCATTGTCTGATATAAATACCAAATACAACACGTTTCTACGACAGAAGGGCAGTATACACTGAAACATGAGCATTGTCTGATATGAATGCCGAGTACAACACATTTCTACAACAGAATGGCAGTATACACTGAATCATGAGCATTGTCTGATATAAATACGGAGTACAACACATATCTACAACAGAAGGGCAGTATACACTGAAACATGAGCATTGACTGATATGAATACCAAATACAACACATTTCTACAACAGAAGGGTAGTATAATCTGAAACATGAGCATTGTCTGATATAAATACCGAGTACAACACATTTCTACAACAGAAGGGCAGTAAACACTGAAACATGAGCATTGTCTGATATAAATACGGAGTACAACACATTTCTACAACAGAAGGGTAGTATACTCTGAAACATGAGCATTGTCTGATATAAATACCAAATACAACACATTTCTACGACAGAAGGGCAGTATACACTGAAACATGAGCATTGTCTGATATAAATACCGAGTACAACACATTTCTACAACAGAAGGGCAATATACACTGAAACATGAGCATTGTCTGATATAAATACGGAGTACAACACATTTCTACAACAGAAGGGTAGTATAATCTGAAACATGGGCATTGTCTGATATAAATACCAAATACAACTCATTTCTACGACAGAAGGGCAGTATACACTGCAACACGAGCATTGTCTGATATGAATACCGAGTACAACACATTTCTACAACAGAAGGGTAGTATACTCTGAAACATGAGCATTGTCTGATATAAATACCAAATACAACACATTTCTACAACAGAAGGGCAGTATACACTGAAACATGAGCATTGTCTGATATGAATACCGAGTACAACACATATATACAACAGACGAGCAGTATACACTGAAACATGAGCATTGTCTGATATGAATACCGAGTACAACACATATATACAACAGACGAGCAGTATACACTGAGCATGAACAACTGTCCTCCGATAAAACCATCAATATGTAACTTTTGAAAGACAACAAATTATTTAAGAATATGATCAAATAATTACGGCATATATTTTAGTAACCTTGATATGAGCCACACCTTAAAAAGAATATATTGTAAAAGCCTCCAATAAATTTTATCATTTTTGACGAGAACACCGGCAAGTCTCTACTCTGAACTAAATTCTGCACTGCGCGGTGTAATGTTAATATCGGGCAGACAATGTTCCTGCAATTGATAAAGTCTATTAACTGTACCTTCTGTTGACGTAAGATAGACCATATTGGTAAACTTTTCACCCACGAAGAGTGCTCGTGCGAGTACGTTCTCTTCTGCGTCCAGGAAGTGGAATCGAACAGGAGAATAAGTCTTTTTGTCCTCGCGCCGAGTCAGATTTCCACTAAATACAAAAAGTAAACAATAACATATGAGTATGATATATAAACAATTGCTATATCCACCTTAACATATTTAATAAATGCTTACATTAAATGCCTATCTATTAAAATGTTTTTTAACGCCTCATCATTTTAATTTCATCTTGTTTCTCATTTACTACTGTGTATTAAGTATCCAAACATATGATAATATACCATTTACAGGTATATAGAGAACTTTATTTTTACACATGTCCATTTTAAACTTTATGAAACATAATGCAGTAAAATATCGTTTAAGTAAAACAGGATACAATAAGGTATGTGCTACAATAAGGTATGTGATACAATAAGGTATGTGATACAATACGGTATGTGATACAATAAGGTATGTGATACAATAAGGAATGTGATACAATAAGGAATGTGATACAATACGGTAAGGTGTGTGATACAATAAGGTATGTGATAAAATACGGTATGTGATACAATAAGGTATGTGATACAATAAGGTATGTGATACAATACGGTAAGGTATGTGATACAATAAGGAATGTGATACAATACGGTAAGGTATGTGATAAAATAAGGTATGTGATACAATAAGGTATGTGATACAATACGGTATGTGATACAATAAGGTATGTGATACAATACGGTATATGATACAATAAGGAATGTGACACAATACGGTAAGGTATGTGATACAATAAGGTATGTGATACAATAAGGTATGTGATACAAAAAGGTACCATACCGTTGACTGATGGTGCTGTCGAGGTCTGCCTCCATGGAGACGTTAGAGGCAGGGTGAGTACAATTTAATGACACAAATCGGTCGTATCTAGTCCGGATTCTGGGATGGAAACCTACCACAACGTCTGTGACGTAGGTGATATCACCAGGCTGCAATACAAAAATACACAACAGTGAAACATAGACACGTTTTTCTTATAGTTGTAATGCGAAGATGGAGGATTTTATCTTTTATTTCTGACTGAGATTGACAATTGTCAACACACACACGAATTGGGAACATTATTCTCTTTTTATGTTTATCTGTTCTGATTATCAAAGTCCATGTATGTATTTGGACAAATTTTCTCTTATCAATAGATTGTGACGACCTTAAATACCTAGTATTGGAATATTGCTCAGCTACACATGTCATGGGAAGGGGTCGTCCTATGGTTGATGCCATGATAGCGATATTATATTGGATTATAACAACATTTCTAATTGGATGGCTTCTCTATCGTTTCGACTGTACATGGGGAATGCAAATATAAGGCCTTAATGACTGCCCTATTTGGTAAGGCTAAGTTTTTGCTTTTATAAATTCATCTAAATTTCATTATTCAATTTGCGATTATCAGGCACTTTTCGCCAAAAGAAACCCGGATGAGTTATAAAACGAACTATAAATAAAAGTGAAGGGGAACCCTATCACACTTTGTTTAATAGTGATATCGAAAATGAAAACACTGCTATTGTACACGTGTTTCGAAATAATGCTCCCGTTGCCGATCAAACAAACAGGTGCTGAACAGGTTGAAATAAATTCCCTTTCAAATTACATGGACATATGTGAATAGGTTTAACCACGCAAAGCCAATTCAGGTGAAATGACACATACCATGGGATAATCCTGAATCTCTGTCGCCCCACACGTAGAATTATCAAACGCGATCGATGACGAAAATTTACGGTAACCGGCCACATCGCTAGTCTCCTCTGTGAAAATACATTCCGACCTTGAGAGTGCACCATAAATGGCGCCACTGTAACCCTCGGGAACCATCATGTTGACTTTCATCTCCACACCAAGGCATTCCCACGAATCTTAAAAGAAACAAAGGTTAAGCCGAATATTCATTTTTGTCATATAAATTGTAAACACTCAAATCAGCAATTCAACCTTGTAATATTTAAGTCAAAGCATGTGCACATGCCTTTTCAATATAAGGTAGGCAAACATGTTTTATGGCAATAAAAAATGCTATGTGTTAAAAACATCCGGTTAAGATATCGCGTTTAAGCAACGTTTTTAGTTGACTAAATGAAAAAAAAGCAAACACATTATTGTATGGTTATCAAACGTTATTGTAAAAAGCATGGGAACCATGTCATTTAATAGCTTGTGATTTCCGTATAAATTAAACTAAAATGATGGCCAGGGAAGAAAGAAGAGTAAGTTTATCCCTGGTAATGCCTGTAACAGAAGCACAATTTTATAAATAAACCTGTGAATTCACCAAAATAAATTTAAAACAGTGTCAATGTATGACATTCACAAATTACGCCAATAATCATCGGACATTTTCCAAGAACGTTTGCTTTTTTAAAAAAGGGGCTAATTTGGGAAGCTATGAGCCAGACGATATTTTTCGGAACATAGCAAAAGGTTATAAACCTTTCTCATTTTGTATCAGATCGGTAGAGAATGTTTAATTTTTATTTCGATTGTAGAATTACTCATGTGTTATCAAAACCTACTACTACCTCAAATGAAATTAAATATGCTACACATGTATAAACCCTAAACCCTAACATGAGTTATATAGTATCTTAAAATTAATTATCTTATATAAAAGCAAATGTTACTATATAAAATTATATAAATTTGACTATAAACAAAGTTGATTTAACTACAGACAAATATATGTAAGTAAAAACAATGTTAGTATTATCATAAACAAAGTTGAAAGTAAAAGGGTAAATATGACTACATACAAGTTAATTGTACAGTAAACAACATTTATGTTACCATAGACAAGACAATGATACATTAGTATAAACAATGATAGTATTATCATACACAAAATTGAAAATAAAAGGGTAAATATGACTGCATACATGTTAATTGTACTGTAAACAACGTTTATGTTACCATAGACAAGACAATGATACATTAGTATAAACAATGTATTATTATACACAAAGTAGAAATTAAAAAAGTAAATATTGACCGATACAAGTTAATTTTACTGTAAACAAAGTTGATTTTTTGTAGACAATGATAAACTAGTAAAAATAATGATAGTTTTGTTATACACAAAGTTAAAAATCAAAAAGTTAATATGACTATATGCAGGTTACTTTAAGTGTATATGATGTTGAATTTGCTATACTTAAAGTTGGTTATTATATGAAGTTATATGCTTTATTCATAAAGTTAATGCTACCGTACGTAACGTTGTATCAAACCATGCTACGTCGAAAGCAGTTTGTTTAGGTCATTACTTCATATCCACACCGAGTTCGTTAAGTTGAAACAGATGATAAAAGAGAATTATGTCATCCCTTTCTGCCGTATATATTTGAAATAATGACTACGGTTTCACCAAAAATGGTTATGTATCTAAGATATAGGTATGATTAAGCATTACAAAAATGCAAATATTTGCTATTTTGTTAGCGTTGCATCAGACACAAGGTTCCTTCTTTTCAAAAGATTAGTTAGAGTAACGGTAGGACTATACATATTTTAATTTTCTATTATTAAAGGTATATCTAGTTTATCTTTTATATCTGACAAGGTGAGAGAAAAAAAAAGAAATTCGCAACGCAAGGAACATCAAAATATTTGAAAATTCATAAGCAAAGGTTCTCCAATACATAATGATGAATTATATGATGACTACGAAGCTAAGAATGCTTTGCAACATCGAGCCATTATATCATGAAGCAAGTTCTATTTACATGAAATGATACACGTTGAATGTCATTGAACTGCATGCGTATGAAATAATCAGAAAAGGCCAAATGTCGTTCCTAAAAAAGGCACGGTAGGACTACATATGTGCTACAAACAATCCGATCATTAAATAAGGTGCAGAGCGTGTCACCAGGCGTTTTTATATTAGTGTGCTAGTAGATGCAGACTCGGTTCCAGGCGTCAGGTTAAACTTCTGTTGGATATCTATTCAAACACCCGTTTCAATAACTTGTTGGTCTTGATTGAACGATAGTTTCTCTGTTTCGTCGAATGTGGTGTATTTAAAAGTAGTTAAAGAAATACATTCTAATCTAATAGTAATAGTTTATTCGGACCTTTGATCTTAAGGAAATGTCTTAACAAGCGTATGTACAGGTAATTGCTTTCGTTTAATTGTTTTAGAAAATCCCATCCAAATATCGAATATTGCCAATATTTCCTAAACATTATTTTCAACTATAAGCATTTTCTAATTTAACGACGAAATACTGTTACCAAACGTGGATATAAAACATGCTAATGGTATGTTACTATCCCAACCTTCCAGGAACACAGACAAGAATCATTACAGTCGACATACCCCATAAATATTTATCCAATATTTCCCTTTTTCGTCAAAATAAACAATAATACAAATGGGTTTACATTGTTTGGTGTTTGGGGCTATGAAAACAGGCAATCGTGGAAATAAACGGTTGTCGGAACTCGCTTGCCGTTTCATTCTGGCCTTAAAACGGGATATATCTATAATTGAAAAAGAACATCGACACCCACAAATTGAATTAAGTCATTTATAGAGTGCAAATAAAACCTCGATATACTGATTTTGTGCATATACAAAACCTTAAATTCACTGGCGGCAGTATAAGAAGGGTAAATTGTACAAACGGTGGCAGTATAATGAGGTTTTACCGTACCTTCAAGCATTTTAAAGGATATGTTCATTCACGCATTTAAATTGTAAATATACATTCATCGTCAAAGCACAACAGATTTAAAACGCTAATACTTAGACTTATCGATAAAATTAATATGAAAGACGGGAACCTAGTAGATTTGGCAAGGGAAACCTCAAAACAGCAGGAACAGAGAAAATAGGAAAACAAAAGGAACAGATAAGATAGTAAAAAAACAGGTACAGAGAAGATAGGAATTAACAGAGACATAGGAGATAGGAAAACAACAGAGACAGAGGAGATAGGAAAATAACAGAGACAGAGAAGATGGGAAAACAACAGAGACAGAAGGGATAGGAAAACAACAGAGACAGAGAAGATAGGAAAACAGCAGGGACAGAGGAGATAGGAAAGGAGATAGGAAAATAACAGAGACAGAGAAGACGGGAAAACAACAGAGACAGAAGGGATAGGAAAACAACAGAGGCAGAGGAGATAGGAAACAACAGAGACAGAGGAGATAGGAACCAACAGAGACAGAGGAGATAGGAACCAACAGAGACAGAGGAGATAGGAACCAACAGAGACAGAGGAGATAGGAAAACAACAGAGACAGAGGAGATATGATAACAGCAGAGACAGAGAAGATAGGAAAACAGTAGAGACAGAGGAGATAGGAAAACAGTAGAGACAGAGGAGATAGGAAAACAAAAGAGACAGAGAAGATAGGAAAACAACAGACACAGAGAGGATAGGAAAAAAGACAGAGACAGAGAAGATAGGAAAACAACAGACAGAGGAGATAGGAAAACAACAGAGACAGAGGAGAGATGATAACAGCAGAGACAGAGAAGATAGGAAAACAGCAGAGACAGAGGAGATAGGAAAACAACAGAGACTGAGAAGATAGGAAAACAACAGAGACAGAGGAGATGGGAAAACAACAGAGACAGAAGGGATAGGGAAACAACAGAGACAGAGGAGATAGGAAACAACAGAGACAGAGGAGATAGGAAAACAACAGAGACTGAGAAGATAGGAAGAGACAGAGAAGATAGGAAAACAACAGACAGAGGAGATAGGAAAACAACAGAGACAGAACAGAGACAGAGAAGATAGAAAAACAACAGAGACAGAGGAGATAGGAAAACAACAGAGACAGAGAAGATAGGAAAACAACAGACAGAGGAGATAGGAAAACAACAGAGACAGAGGAGATAGGAAACAACAGAGACAGAGGAGATAGCAAAACAACAGACACAGAGAGGATAGGAAAAAAGACAGAGGCAGAGAAGATAGGAAAACAACAGAGACAGAGGAGATATGAAAACAGCAGAGACAGAGAAGATAGGAAAACAGTAGAGACAGAGGAGATAGGAAAACAGTAGAGACAGAGGAGATAGGAAAACAAAAGAGACAGCGAAGATAGGAAAACAAAGAGGATAGGAAAAAAGACAGAGGAGACAGAGACAGAGAAGATAGGAAAACAACAGAGACAGAGGAGATAGGAAAACAACAGAGACAGAGAAGATAGAAAACCAACAGAGACAGAGGAGATAGGAAAACAGCAGAGACAGAGAAGATAGAAAAACAGCAGAGACAGAGGAGATAGGAAAACAAAAGAGACAGAGAAGATAGGAAAACAATAGAGACAGGGGAGATAGGAAAACAACAGACACAGAGGAGATAAGAAAACAACAGACACAGAGGAGACAGGAAAACAACAGAGACAGAGGAGATAGGAAAACAACAGAAACAGAGGAGATAGGAAAACAGCAGGGACAGAGGAGATAGGAAAACAACAGAGACAGAGGCGATAGGAAAACAACAGGGACAGAGGAGATAAGAAAACAACAGAGACAGAGGAGATAGGAAAACAGCAGAGACAGAAGAGATAGGAAACAACAGAGACAGAGTAGATAGGAAAACAACAGAGACAGAGGCGATAGGAAAACAACAGGGACAGAGGAGATAAGAAAACAACAGAGACAGAGGAGATAGGAAAACAGCAGGGACAGAGGAGATAAGAAAACGACAGAGACAGAGGAGATAGGAAAACAACAGAGACAGAGGAGATAGGAAAACAACAGAGACGAGGAGATAGGAAAACAGCAGGGACAGAGAAGATAGGAAAACAACAGACACAGAGGAGATAGGAAAACAAAAGAGACAGAGGAGATAGGAAAACAACAGAGACAGAGGAGATAGGAAAACAATAGAGACAGAGGAGATAGGAAAACAACAGAGACAGAAGAGATAGGAAAACAACAGAGACAGAGGAGATAGGAAAACAGCAGAGACAGAGGAGATAGGAAAACAACAGAGACAGAGGAGATAGGAAAACAATAGAGACAGAGGAGATAGGAAAACAACAGAGACAGAAGAGATAGGAAAACAACAGAGACAGAGGAGATAGGAAACAACAGAGACAGAGGAGATAGGAAAACAACACAGACAGAGGAGATAGGAAAACAACAGAGACTGAGAAGATAGGAAAACAGCAGGGACTGAGGAGATAGGAAAACAACAGAGACAGAGGCGATAGGAAAACAACAGAGACGAGGAGATATGAAAACAGCAGGGACAGAGAAGATAGAAAAACAACAGAGACAAAGGAGATAGGAAAACAACAGAGACAGAGGAGATAGGAAAACAACAGAGACAGAGGAGATAGGAAAACAGCAGAGACAGAGAAGATAGGAAAACAGCAGAGACAGAGGAGATAGGAAAACAACAGAGACGAGGAGATAGGAAAACAACAGAGACAGAGGAGATAGGAAAACAACAGAGACAGAAGAGATAGGAAAACAACAGGGACAGAGGAGATAGGAAAACAGCAGGGACAGAGGAGATAGGAAAACAACAGAGACAGAGAAGATAGGAAAACAACAGACAGAGGAGATAGGAAAACAACAGAGACAGAGGAGATAGGAAAACAACAGAGACGAGGAGATAGGCAAACAGCAGAGACAGAGGAGAAAGGTAAACAACAGGAACAAAATTAACATCACAACAGGAACAGGGGAGCCAAGAATAAAAGTAAGAGGATATATAAAAAAACATGGAGGAATTAAACTCAAAATATCGCCTGAAAGGCCAAATATCATCAATATGTAAGGATATTTCGAAGCAAAAAATGAAAAACAAATGAGGAGACTCGTGTTTTTTAATCATATTTTAAGAATTTGTTATATTTTTTTAGAAAACATCGTGCCTGAACATACCCTTCATTATTTATTTGTTCAGCAACCCGTAGTAACATGGTATTTATTATTGTGTCTCCAGTGTTTTAGTAGTGAAGAGGTTAGTGTGGTTCATGTAATCTCACTATAATTTTGTCAGTATCTCAATGAATGACGTAATGAGATTAGGGAAATGCATCTATGAAAAATCAAAATATAAAGTAAGGCGGTAGCATTAATTAAACGAAACGTTTACAATGCAATGCTAACTATATGAATATATACATGAATCAGGCAATGCAGATACGACTTTACTACAACTATAACTAATAAAATGAAATGAAAACTATACCAGTATTACAATGAATGAAGTGATACATCCATATATATATATATGTATATGAAATGATAAAAAGGTTATTAACTAAACAATTGTTGTTAATAGATGCATCTGCTAAAATGTTTAGACTCACCTGTCTCGGAGTCACAAGTAGGTCCGTAGTGGGTGATTGGACAATGACACTGGTCGGTATTATGGCAAACACCACCGTTAGCACAGGGGTCATCCACACAATCCTGCTCGGCTGTAGTCAATAACAGAGTCAACATATAAATAATCGGGCCAGAAAGTCTGACTGGCGAAGTGACATGTTAACAATGCTATTATAAAAAGTACATCTATTGGATCTGTTGTACATAAATTGTCGGACAAGTATTTTGAAATATATACATATGCATTGCTGGAAAGGTTTGTTTTTGTTTGTAAATCGTGATTTTATCATTCACAGAAAACCCGGAAAGAAATTGTCTTTTTGTCTAATATAGAAAATGTTCATGATATAATTACGCATGATTAAGAACAATCAGATTTTGAAAAATAGATATTTTAATACATTAACACACGAACTACTTGTTCAATCCTAAACGTTTTCATAGTAAAAAGAGTAGGAGTTTCACTTTTTATTTCTTTATTCACATTTATAGTCAATTTTTTTCATGAATTGTCACCACAAGATATCTTCTTGGTCCTTTATCATAATATATGCATTTCGCTATAATTCATAAAGATATTTTTTGTTGTCAATGCTTTCCCTACATGTGGTTAACTTAAAAGGATATATATATATATGTATATACAAATGTATAAGGGACAATGAACGACCTGTTAAAATGTAGTAATATAATAATAATAAAAATAATAGTTCGAGGTTCTTATATACCGCTTTATCACAACCTAGTTCGTAGGTCGTCATAAAGCGGTTCACAAATTATCATATTGTGTATATTTATGAGAAATACATTTTTATTGAAGACGGCGTTCGATACAGAAAATACAACTTACCTACGGCGACCCCACAGTCGTACGCTGTATACTCGGCAGTACAGACACATGCTCCCTTTTGACAAGAGCCCCCGTTCTTACATTCATAACCACGAAGGTAACAATTATACTGGGTCTGTTCCTCCTGTGATAAAGTCACGTCAAGCACTGGAAAAACAATTACACATCTGTACAAACAATCATTCATTATTTCTCATATAAACAAAAGTACATCTTTTCTAAAAATGACTTAACAAAATATGACAAAGACATTATTTCTAAACAAATTATATTGATCTACCGATATTAAGTAAACAAACAGTACCAAGCTACAGTATAGTTATCAAATAAACGCTACTGAGATACACTAACATCAGAAATAAAAGATTTCTGAAGGCTGATTATTCAAAGAAAAAAATCAGTATTATTGAATTACTTCAAAATTTATTCAAAATGGATTTCACCATAGAACAAATATTCAAATGTTTCATTAAGTAATATGTGAAAGGCATCTATTTAAAAGATCATTCAATCTTGTCTCAGTGACATGCGTTGAATATGGCATGATTATGTTGGGTGTAGGTTAGGTAATTTCTATATAAAACATTAATCTTTATATCAAATATATATTCATATTATTTAAAAGGCATTGAATTGATTTTTATTCGGTTTTTCTTAGTGATGCTTAGTCAGTTTTTTTTTATTATTTTATGCAAAATTCAAAGGCTTTATATACTTATTTTTATTTTTTCCGGTCATTTTTGTTATCAAATTAACAGAAAACCTTAATTTCCTCGCTTTCACAGCATCTCTGATACAAAATCATTGCACTAGGGCAAGGACGCTTTTGTGGTCTTTCTCAAGAAATAAATAAAGATTGTAAATCTATTAAGGATACATAATAGAAAATTTGTCATACAACAAACTTTATTCGAATTTATCCCAAAACCAACATCGTTAATGCTGAATTAACGAGACACTGAACTATGACATGATCAACTTTATTTGTGTAACGGCCATTACCCTAAATCCTCATTCGAAATACAAATAGTTGATTATGCAATGACAGGTAGCCATTTTACATTTGTATCGTCCAAAATGTTTCCAATGATACCCTGTGCCATATTTTGGTGTTATATAATATAATATTGTTATAAATATGCACTAGTAAGAGTGGTAATTCTATCTTCATATCCATAAGTGTGTATATACATACACCGCTTTTAAATAATTTTAAGAAGAATTTGTATAATTTCTCATGATCCGAAGGAAAAACATTATACTTATTAAAATTGCAGTATTCTAATTTGGCTTAATAAAATCAAATTTGGGAAATTTCAGGTTTTCTATTTCTTAAATTACTAAAAATCGGTTTTAATAAAATGTGTACAGTTTGTTAATAAAACTCATCCTGAAATCACCTTAATAAAAAATGAGACCGTTACAGAAAAAAATGACGCAGACAATCCGCTCAAGGGACAAAACTTTACGAAGAAGAACATGTACAAGAACTGTAATCATAGTTATCGTTACCTTATATTTGATATATGCTAAATTTTAAGATTATTCAAACGATAGCTTTTCCTTTTGTTCACTCATTTTGAAATTAAAGCAATTTGTATGTACCAATGCATAGGAGAACATTGTACAAACGCGACACTTACCCACAATGAAACATATAAGGACAGCTCCAAACCGAAACATCTTTGATCTGAAATGAAAAAAAAACATTCTTTTAATTAAGACCTGGTTTTAGTCGTCATTAAATCTTCGACAATGAAGATAAAAGTTGTTGATATCTTATTTCATTATGATTCAACTGTGTTGTACACAATATAGGTAATATCAATATAATATACACTGTGCTATAGACCACATGTATACGTCAATTTAATACTCTGTGTTATATACAACTTGTATATGTCAATATAATACACTGTGCTATAGACCACATGTATACGTCAATATAGTACACTGTGCTATAGACAAAATGTATACGTCAATATAGTACACTGTGCTATAGACCACATGTGTACGTCAATATAGTACATTGTGTTATAGACTACGTGTATACGTCAATATAGTACACTGTGCTATATATAGACCACATGTATACGTCGATAATATGCACTGTGCTATAGACCACATGCATACGTCAATATAGTACACTGTGCTATATATAGACCACATGTATACGTCGATAATATGCACTGTGCTATAGACCACATGCATACGTCAATATAGTACACTGTGCTATCGACCACATGTGTACGACAATATAGTACATTGTGTTATAGACTACGTGTATACGTCAATATAGTACACTGTGTTATAGACTCCGTGTATACGTCAATATAGTACACTGTGCTATAGACCACATGTGTACGTCAATATAGTACATTGTGTTATAGGCTACGTGTATACGTCAATATAATAACTGTGGTTTAGAACACATGTATACGTCAATATAGTACACTCATGTGTACGTTAATATTAGACACTGTGCTTTAGAACATGTATACGTCAATATAGTACACTCATGTGTACGTTAATATTAGACACTGTGCTTTAGAACATGTATACGTCAATATAGTACACTGTGATATAGACCACATGTATACGTCAATTTAATTCTCTGTGTTATATACAACTTGTATATGTCAATATAATACAATGTGCTATAGACCACATGTATACGTCAATTTAATTCTCTGTGTTATATACAACTTGTATATGTCAATATAATACAATGTGCTATAGACCACATGTATTCGTCAATTTAATCCTCTGTGTTATATACAACTTGTATACGTCAATATAAAACACTGTGATATAGACCACATGTATACGTCAATATAATACACTGTGTTATAGACTACGTGTATACGTCAATATAGTACACTGTGATATAGACCACATGTATACGTCAATTTAATTCTCTGTGTTATATACAACTTGTATACGTCAATATAATACACTGTGCTATAAACGACATGTATACGTCGATAATATACACTGTGCTATAGACCACATGCATACGTCAATTTAATACTCTGTGTTATATACAACTTGTATATGTCAATATAATACAATGTGCTATAGACCACATGTATTCGTCACTTTAATACTCTGTGTTATATACAACTTGTATACGTCAATATAAAACACTGTGCTATAGACCACATGTATTCTTCAATTTAATACTCTGTGTTATAGACCACATGAATACGTCAATATAGTACACTGTGTTATAGACTCCGTGTATACGTCAATATAGTACACTGTGCTATAGACCACATGTGTACGTCAATATAGTACATTGTGTTATAGGCTACGTGTATACGTCAATATAATAACTGTGTTATAGACCACATGTATAAGTCAATATAAAAACAACTTTGCTATATACCACATGTGTACGTTAATATTAGACACTGTGCTGTAGACCAAATGTATTCGTCAATTTAATACTCTGTGTTATATACCACATGTATTCGTCAATATAGTGCACTGTGTTATAGACCACAAGTATAAGTCAATATAAAAAAATTTGCTATATACCACATGTGTACGTTAATATTAGACACTGTGCTTTAGACCAAATGCATACGTCAATATAGTACTCTGTGTTATAGACCACATGTATACGTCAATATAATACACTGTGCTATAGACCACATGTATACGTCAATATAGTACTCTGTGTTATAGACCACATGTATACGTCAATATGATACACTGTTCTATAGACCACATGTATACGTCGATATAAAACACTGTGTTATAGACCACATGTATACGTCAATATAGTGCACTGTGTTATACACTACGTGTATACGTCAATATAATAACTGTGTTTTATACCACATGTATACGTTAATATAGTGCACTGTGCTATAGACCACATGTATACGTCAATATAGTACTCTGTGTTATAGACCACATGTATACATCAATATAATACACTGTGCTATATAAAACTTGTATACGTCAATATAATACACTGCGCTATATAAAACTTGTATACGTCAATATAATACACTGCGCTATATAAAACTTGTATACGTCAATATAATACACTGTCCTATAGACCACATGTATTCGTCAATTTAATACTCTGTGTTATATACAACTAGTATACGTCAATATAATACACTGTGCTATAGACCACATGTATACGTCGATATAGTACACTGTGCTATAGACCACATGTATACGTCGATATAGTACACTGTGCTATAGACCACATGTGTACGTCAATATAGTACATTGTGTTATAGACTACGTGTATACGTCAATATAATAACTGTGTTTTATACCACATGTATACGTTAATATAGTGCACTGTGCTATAGACCACATGTATACGTCAATATAGTGCACTGTGTTATACACTACGTGTATACGTCAATATAATAACTGTGTTTTATACCACATGTATACGTTAATATAGTGCACTGTGCTATAGACCACATGTATACGTCAATATAGTGCACTGTGTTATAGAGCACCTAATACACTGTGCTATATAAAACTAGTATACGTCAATATAATACATTGTGCTATAGACCACATGTATACGTCAATATAGTGCACTGTGTTGTGTGCTATAGACCACATGTATACGTCAATATAGTGCACACATGTATACGTCAATATAATACACTGTGTTAACTACGTGTATACGTCAATATAATAACTGTGTTATAAACCACGTGTATACGTTAATATAAAAACATTTCTATATACCACATGTATACGATATTATTAGACACTGTGCTATATACCACATTTATTCGTCAATATAATACACTGTGATATAGACCACATGTATAGGTTAATATAGTACACTGTGTTATAGACTACGTCTATACGTCAATATAATAACTGTGTTATAAACCACGTGTATACGTTAATATAAAAACATTTCTATATACCACATGTATACGATATTATTAGACACTGTGCTATATACCACATTTATTCGTCAATATAATACACTGTGATCTAGACCACATGTATAGGTCAATATAGGACACTGTGTTATAGACTACGTGCATACGTCAATATAATAACTGTGTTTTAGACCACATGTATACGTTAATATAGTGCACTGTGCTATAGACCACATGTATACGTCGATATAGTACACTGTGCTATAGACCACATGTGTACGTCAATATAGTACATTGTGTTATAGACTACGTGTATACGTCAATATAGTACACTGTGTTAGACTACGTGTATACGTCAATATAATACACTGTGTTAAAGACCTCATGTATACGTCAATATAGTACACTGTGTTATAGACCACATGTATCCGTCAATATAGTACACTGTGTTATAGACCCCCTGTATACGTCAATAAAGTACACTGTGTTATAGATCACATGTATACGTCAATATAATACACTGTGTTAACTACGTGTATACGTCAATATAATAACTGTGTTATAGACCACATGTATACGTTAATATAGTACACTGTGTTATAGACCACCTGTATACGTCAATAAAGTACACTGTGTTATAGATCACATGTATACGTCAATATAATACACTGTGCTATATAAAACTAGTATACGTCAATATAATACATTGTGCTATAGACCACATGTATACGTCAATATAGTACACTCTGTTATAGACTACGTGTATACGTCAATATAGTACACTGTGATATAGACCACATGTATACGTCAATGTATACATGTGGTATATAGCAAAGTTTTTTTTTTATATTAACGTATACATGGGGTTTATAACACATACACGTCAATATAGTACACTGTGTTATAAACCACATGTATACGTCATATACCACATGTATTCGTCAATATAGTGCACTGTGTTATAGACCACATGTATAAGTCAATATAAAAACAACTTTGCTATATACCACATGTGTACGTTAATATTAGACACTGTGCTGTAGACCAAATGTATTCGTCAATTTAATACTCTGTGTTATATACAACTAGTATACGTCAATATAATACACTGTGCTATAGACCACATGTATTCGTCAATTTAATACTCTGTGTTATATACAACTAGTATACGTCAATATAATACACTGTGCTATATAAACCTAGTATACGTCAATATAATACATTGTGCTATAGACCACATGTATACGTCAATAAAGTACACTGTGTTATAAACCACATGTATACGTTAATATAAAAAAAAATGCTATATACCACATGTATACGTTATTATTAGACACTGTGCTATATACCACATTTATTCGTCAATATAATACACTGTGATATAGACCACATGTATAGGTAAATATAGTACACTGTGTTATAGACTACGTCTATACGTCAATATAATAACTGTGTTATAAACCACATGTATACGTTAATATAAAAAAAAATGCTATATACCACATGTATACGTTATTATTAGACACTGTGCTATATACCACGTTTATTCGTCAATATAATACACTGTGATATAGACCACATGTATAGGTTAATATAGTACACTGTGTTATAGACTACGTGTATACGTCAATATAATAACTGTGTTTTAGACCACATGTATACGTTAATATAGTGCACTGTGCTATAGACCACATGTATACGTCAATATAGTGCACTGTGTTATAGACCACATGTATAAGTCAATATAAAAAGACTTTGCTATATACCACATGTGAACGTTAATATTAGACACTGTGCTGTAGACCAAATGTATACG